GGATTCGCTGGCAGAGCCCGAGCTGTGGGGGTGTCCATCCATCCCCAAGGACATCCGTGAGCTGCCTCTGTTTTGCCTTCCCCAAGCCGGAAAGTAATTGATAATAGACTATTCTTTCTGCCAGGCCAGCACAGTATAACCTCTCCCTTGCCAAGTTTGGGTCCAGCTTTGACACAGACCAGCCATGCCCTTGGAGGAGTTGCTTAACTCCTGAGGCTCTGTGCCTCAGTTTCCTCTTATAAAACATCAACACTAATAGATAGTAATTGCGCTTATCACCCTATTGAGCTGATACAAGTATTACATGAGTTACTGCATGTTGAGTACTCAGATCAGTGCCTTCCATTACTGAGGGCTGTAAGTACTTGGTATTATGAATAATTTTAAGAAGTTTTATGAAGGCAATGAGTGGTAAGTTTATCTTTTTAAAAAGCTACCAAAGGAATAAAGTCCATTCAGTTTTCTTTCGCAGTGCTTCTTGTTTCATATTTCTCCATATCGGTCTGTCAGTTAGGAAGAGACTGCTTTTGAGCAAATTTGTTACAACTAGCAAAAGGAGTAAGTTTTACTTTCAATGATTTCCTACTTCTGTGCCTCCACAGAAATAAAATTTCCAAATGAGCAAAATATTTGTAATTTTCAACACATTTTGGGAACAACAGTTCTATGGGTAGAGGGCACAGGACGGGTGACCTCAGGTGCGGCTGCGGTTCTCACACCTCTGTGAAGCTGCAGTTTGGTGTGAACACCCAGGCTGAGCCTCAGAGCTGAGCAGATGGTTCCCAGTTAAGGAAATGCAGACCAGTTCCATTCAGAGCTGGACACGCAGGTGTGATTTCAGCCTCCCGTTCAGTGAGTGATGGACCTGAGGGTTCTCTGAGGTGCTCGGGGCAGGTATTGCACCCAATTTTGTGGGGTTGCTGCTGCGTAAGAAGGGCTGAGAGCACATCCCATGACTCACGAGTGCCTCACCAGTTGGAATCAACTTTAAAAAGAGTTTCAGGGCTCTGTACCTCTGGAAACTTGGCAGCGAGATGTGAGCAGAGACATTCCTGGGCTGTCACTTGGCAACATTCCCCTGATGGAGCAAGGCATTGCTATGAAATCAATCGGGACCGCAAATTAGAAACCCTTTGACAGAAAATTGCTTGCTTTCATGAAGAGACAGCCTGAGGAATCTTCTTTCTTCAGAGCCGCAGAACAGTCTTTCTGAAGCAGCTTAGGTTGTTGATGAGTTTCGGTCAGCAACACTGGATTTCAGAAAACCCTCTGAGCCTGAACGCTCACCCACATTTCAGGCCTTTAACTTATAGTCATATTTCAGTAGATGTGACATGTGTTAACAATGTCATATTACAACAAGATGACTTTCTAAATATACAGAAGTTTATAACATATCATATACCGTATCAGTTTATCAGAATACTGAGCTGTAACTACAGACAAGCCACACAAGCAGGTCCCTGAGGAGGCACGACAGAGGACAGCACATTTTGAAAGGACATGGACAGAAACAGTCCAGAATAGAAGGCTCTTCGAAGGGAGAGAGGTCCCAGCGGTGAAGTGGCAGAGAGCAAGGAGGATCCCTGACCACTGATTCATGAAATCTTCACTGATTCATGAAATCAGGAGGTCATGGGGTTGACATCTTGCCCCAAAATGTCAGAGGTGAAGGTGGATGTGCTATATTAGGGTGTCACCATGGACTGACTCTGTTCCTCAAGTATATAGTCAAGGTCACAAGCTTGCAAATTCTTGAATCAAGTGGCTACAAAATAATAGAAAAGTACTGCTGACTTCATGCCCTTGTGGATGGTGTATCCAAGCAGGACACAGAACCAAGCATTGTGTGCTTCCCTGCCCTGGTGTTGGGATGGTGGCCCCAACCTGTTAAAAAGACCAAGCAGTAGGCCACAATCCAGTCCAAATTGATTGGCAAAAACCAGGGAGGACCCTGCATATTTCAAGGAAACCAAAGCTCCCATCCCACTTAGTGCCTCTCTCCGTTGTCTCTGGGGCCGATATTTCATTCCATTCCTTGGCAACAGACCAGACCTCAGTCAACCACCTGCCCATGAAACACTTTCCCCCATTGTCTCCTTGGAAAGCCAAGGATGCAATGGACTGATTAATCCAAGCCTTTCAAGTTGCTGTCACTGGAACGGGCGAGGGGCAGACACCAAGTCCTGTTCTATCTCGGGTTTGCTTGTCACTCCCTGAGAGGAGACAGGCCTCACAGAGGGGTCCGGAACAATCACATCCCTCACCTTCAGGCCTCCCAGACTCCGGATCTCACCCACGTGATAAATGACCAAAAACAACCCCGAGGCACCTTTGCACAAGGAGGACTGTCCTCCTCCAGGAGGCACTGCCGCCTCTTGATCCCTGGAATGATCTAATTTTCATTCGTCAATACCAAGGAGAAAAGAACTCATTACAGAGCAATTCTGAGTTTGGGCGATAGCAGAACCTGGGGCGGGGGGGGGGGGGGGTTGCAGTCTTTCCCCAGTCTTGCGTCACTCTGTGTCTTCTCATCCTCTCCCCTGAGCTCATCAGAATGTGGAAAAGGCCACGTATCCAGGAGCCCACTTTCTTCCATGGCTACCCAGTGGCCTTCCCTGTGGTTACTGTGGCCTTCTTTTTGTTACTATGAGCATCATAGGCTGCACACATGGAAAGAAACTTACCACTAAAGGGAAAAGCCAGAGATAAGAGTTTGTAAAGCCAGTAGATAAGAGTTTGTTAGAGGGAAGCAGCAAGAGAGAGCAAGGCCCTCTTCTCTGATAGGTAGTGGTGAAAGAGGAGAGGGGCACGTGCTCACACCATCCTCGCTCAAGGTTAAAGGAACTCCCTCATTTCAATTAGACAGGTGCCCATACATCCTTTAGCTTCATGTATCTTCTCTTCCAAAATAGGACACTGTAGCAATTTTGAGGTTATTCCCTTTAGCATTTAAATTGCTTAAAGAAACCAAAGGAAAAGTAAAAATTCAGGTCACTTCTGCTTCTACCTCAACTATTGGGAACACAGTGTCTAGAAGATTCTTAAAAGAAGCTTGTCTGAACTGAATACCACCCTTGCTTTTATAAGATGATTAAAAATGGTAACTCTAACAAGTGATTTTTTTTTTTGCAAACAAGCAGTTATTTGTTAGTCACTAATCAATTTACTTACTTTTCTTAAAAAAGGCTTGTCCATATAAAGTGACCAATTTCTCTCTCCCTTGTCTAATCTGAGATTGAGCCTGTTGCTTTCTACCCCCAAAGTATCTCAGAAAAACCCCATCTCCTTGGCTACAACCCAGGCCCTCACTGCACCCTTGGGCTTACTGCAAAGCTGCAAGACAGTAGGTGTTCTTGCCTTTGCTTTCTACCTCCTACAACCCACCTCTCAGTTATTGGCAGATTGTCATTTTATAGCATAGATCCAATCATGTCAATTTCCTGCAGAAGAGTTATCACTGTGCCGTAGGTTCTCAGCTGTTCTTCGGGGACCAATAGGCCATTTGTACCCAAATAGCATGCTGTCCTGGACAGCAGCCTTTCCTTTCGTGACTGCAGGTCTGTGACAGGATGTCCCCTGCCTGCAATACCCTTTTCTGACTAGGAGACCTGGCCCAGTGTCCTCTCTTTTGGAAGGTTCCCTGTTTCCCCAGGCAGGAGGCCTCCTCCTCCGTGCGTCCCTGACACCTTTCATCCCTCACTGTTGGTGCAATCACGTTGCACTGGGATTGATGCTGCGTGGATCTCTGAGCTCCTTCACAGGGTCAGCTCCGTGCCCCCAATGCAGCATCTTCTAATCAATGCTGTGACGTGAATAGGTGTCTGAATGATAGAGAAGTTGCTAAATGTAATTAAAAGAAAAACAACAACAACAACAACAACCTATACAGCTTCTGTTTCAGAGAGCAGAGAAAGTAAGATGGAAGGTTCTCAGTGTGTCCCCTTTAAGTCAGTGGTGTTTTGCTGTTCTTAAGAATTCTTGGCCTTCTTAAGTTTGGAAAAGCAGTTTGGATTTCTGTAACAACTTCTGCCCTGAGTTAGGGCCTGGATCAGACATTGCTGCTGCCCCTTTAAACTGGACTCTGGTGGTCTAAATTTAAACCTCTCATCCTTCCTTCTTCTCCTTCATTCCAAACTGGAGTGTTTCAAATAAAACACGATGGGGATCTTTTAAAAAAGATGTCCACTCCTTATATGAATTGAAGTTTCATTTCATGTAACAAGTGTTATATTCCTTTAACATCAGTAAGTACTGTTAATGTTGATTTAATAGCATTTCTAAATAAGTTAACAAATTATAACTCATTTAACCTCAACAAGTATCGTCTGTGCTGTTGCTCTGTGTGCTGACCTATGATTATTCTTGATACTAAGGTAAATTCAGACTTATTTCCTGAAAATCTGAAGACTTGTTATTTCTCTTCTGTGCCAATGCCTCTTTCTAATGAAACTTTAAAAATCACTTTGAGGACATTTTATCATACTATCCTGTATCCTGTATGATCTATTCCCAACACTCAGATGTCAGACCAAACCCATGAAGTGCAGAGGACACAAATGTATGGAGGGGAGGTTTACATTCTTGGTTAGAATATAAGATCCCAACTCTTGGACACCACAGATGCCCCCTTCCTCCCTGTATAACTTTAGTTTGAGATTTCTAAATACATGTCTCTTTAAAAACTTATAAGAGCAATATATGTTCATCTTAGAAAAATATAAAATATGGATAATAAATAGATGAAAATCTACAAAAGTTCCTACATCTAAGCTAATCACTGCTGACATTTCAGTGCAGGTTTTCCAGATGTTCATATAAACATATTCTTCTAGATATCTACATAAATCAAAACCAGGTCAATCAATATACAGTTTCCAATAATGGTCTTTAAGTTGCAGACTATTTTTAGTCCCTTTTGGGGTGGAGACTTGCTGTACTCCATCTCCCTTAACATTCGAGGACTTGACCTACTTCAGACTGAAGCCTCCCCTACTTACCATGTGCTTTGTGGCAGGGGCACCATCGCAGCGTTCCCTCATGGGCACTCTCAGAGGCTGGGGACCAGGCATGATGGTGGCACTCCAAGAGGGCAAAGGGCTGAGCTTAGAGTCTCATGATCAGACTGGATCCGAGCAGTGAGACATGTGCTGGCCGTTGCCAGTGGAGGTGCTCTGAGCAGGCGCTAGGCTGAGTAGACTCCCCGTGCGCTTCTCTCTCTCTCTCTCTCTCTCTCTGCGCCAACTGGCTAGAAAGTAGCAAGTTCTCTTCCGTTCTCACTCTCTCTTATCCTAAACCTGGACCGACCTGCCAAATTCTTAGGGAATTCACACCACAAGACACTATTTTCAGCAAATGTGACTTGTAGGGTTATCCTTGAGCAGAACAGGTCAGTCAAGCACCTTTCTTTGCAGAAGCTTAGATCAAATGCTGGGCACTCGCCCCAGGGCACGCTGTGGGGCAGTGGCTGGACAGCCCTGCTCTGTTCCCCTCGCTCCCCCAGCGAGCGCTTTTTATAGCCTGCACAGGTGGCTGCGCCTAGAGCCCCTCTCCCGAAGGCAGAGCGCTCGGTGCCTTGCCCTTGCCAGGAGAAACCTTTTAGGAGAGAAGAGAAGCTCTAACACACGATTTGCTTTCTTATGAGAACTTGTGCACATTGATATTTTCCAAGGTTTTCTTAATGAAGACCAGCTATTGGACTAAACTGATCCCAACTGGTAATTGGCAGAAAATATTCATCAAGAATTTCCGGTCAGTAACTGTGTTGTTCATCCAGAAGACCTTTCAGAATTTTAGACTTAGTTGCAACTTGAAAATTCATCTGGCCCAAACTTCCCATTTTCTAAATAAAGAAGCTAAGGCTCAAAATCAGTAATTTCTTCAAGGTCTGTAAGTAGCCAGACTTTGTTTTGGTTCCTGTCACTTGCCAGTGTAGTAAAATACAGTCTTCACTACTGCATTCATCCTTGGCCTTTGGTATACAGCTGGTATCCCGTCCCAGGGTGCATGTTCTAGATGCCTTCAGTTTGTCTGGGTGCCACACATCAGCAACAGACATCTAGTGCGAGCAGAATGACTTTTTCTGTTGATCTTTGTACAGACTCAAGCTCATTGTAGTGGTTTCCAAAATACAGAAGCATCTGCTAAAAATTCAGAAATTAAGGTCCCTTCCTAAGATCGCATGTTGAGGAAATCATGTCTTATAATCTCGAACTTTCTTGAAATAATGCTTAAGGTGAAGAATGATGTCCGCGTAGGAAAAGAGCCCTGAAGAGAACTGGGTACAGATCTTCTGTGCGCTAAACAGCCTCATTTCCGACGTGTCCTACACCGAAGCATTTCCCCGTTTACTAATTTGAAGGGAAGGTCCCTGAAACAAACGCAGCCACCAGCTGGCCAGTCCGCACAAGTGTCTGTGGTGCTGGATCATGGCCGCTCCTCCGGGCCTGTCCTGGTGGTGGTTGGGGCGGCCGTGTGATGACGTCACTACTGGCCGTTGCTGGTTGGTTCAGGAGTGGACACGTGGCTCTAGCTGGACCAGTGGCGTCTCCACACGGCTTCCGGGCACAGTCTGTGATCCAGATCCTAGGGCAGATCTGTTTCCTGGGAGTTTTGTAAGTGGCATGAGGAGAGGAAGCCATCTCTTGGGCTGGGATTGTTGGGGGAAGAGTTGGGGGCTTCTCAGGGCACCATGTACCCGCCCCCCGACGGGTTCTGGGAGAGGGGAGAGCCAGTCTGCAAGGAGAAGGGGCAGTGAGAAGCCGCTACAAGCAGAGTGAGAAGGGGCAGAGGGGCCCTCACAGCAGGGCCGCGTCCTGTGAGTCCAGTTGTTTTCTAATTCGGGGTTTTGTATGCGTCTCCGGGATCCTTGTGGCAACTGACGTCTCTCACTTCTAAAAATCCATCCATTACAAATGAAGCAGTAAGGGCTGATTTCTCATACAATTTGACCCAAAATATCTATAGTTTATATAATTAATTTTCTACTAAAGAAAGTCTGGAAGACAAAGATTTTCTTTGTATATTTAAACAGAAAATGGCATAATTTAAAGATGGCATTTACTCAGATGGTGCTTCGTCACTCTTCATAACTTTTTATGAATGTGCAGTTTGGTAGTAATAGCAATGACCTCTTTTCTTTCCAGCCTGCTTCTCAATATACAGGACACTCACAATTAAGGTAAAATTGTGTTATTGGAGATTTTTCTTCAGTTTCATGTTTCTTGAAGGAGTAGTCTCAACTGTTGTGATATTTGTATTTTTTTTTTGAGACAGAGTCTCACTATGTTGCCTGGGCTAGAGTGCCGTGGCATCAGCCTAGCTCACAGCAACCTCAAACTTCTGGGCTCAAGCAATCCTTCTGCCTCAGCCTCCCCAGTAGCTGGGACTACAGGCATGCGCCACCATGCCCGGCTAATTTTTTAAATATATATTTTTAATTGGCCAATTAATTTCTTTCTGTGTATAGTAGAGGCGGAGTCATGCTCTTACTTAGGCAGGTTTTGAACTCCTGACCTTGAGTGATCCACCCACCTCAGCCTCCCAGAGTGCTAGGATTACAGGCGTGAGTCACTGTGCCCGGCCTGATATTTGTATTTTTAATTTTAAAATTACTCCTAGTGTCACTTTCAGTAGACACTACTGTATCACAGAAAGTAAGCAGATATTTATATAATCAACAGTAGAACATGCTTCATGATTTGTTTATATTTTAATATAATGTTTTATATTTATACAAATTATATATGATTATTAGAGAAAATTTGGAAAATGTAGAAAAATAGAAGCAGATAAATGCTGGTAATATTTGGTATATTATTCTATCCTTTTCAATGCATTGTTACATAGCTGTGATTCTTCTGTAGACACCATTTTAACATTTTAGACACCAGTTAACATTACAGCATACACATTTCCATGTTTATTACAAGTTTTTTTATGGTTTTTGTGATTATAAATTATTCTTATAGACACACTATAATTTACTTAATCTGTCCCCATAATTTTAGGGAATTGCATGGCTCCAAATTTTTAACTATTATAAACAAAACTGTAGTGAATGTTTGTATACGCTTTTATAATATTAATATTGAGGATTATTTACTTACACCAAACTCCTAAGAGTGTATTTGTGTATTAAAGGTTCTGGTTATTTTCAACCCCTATTTATGCACATTGCTATCCCACTACAAAAAGATCGCACCAATTTATTCTCCCTGTCGTACTGAGTGCCCACTTGCCAGTGCTCACCAGCAGAGGGTGTGCTCGCATTTTACACTCTATGTTAAGTTCATGGGGGAAATTTTTTATCTCATAATTAGCTATTAAGACATTATTATAAAGTTGAACATTATCCAAATGCTTGCTAACAAGATGTATTTCCTCTTTGTCGATTAGTCTATTGACGGTTCCATTGCAAATGTCTAAACGAAAGATAGTATATGGGAGATGATCAGAAAGTGGCATCTGACGGTCGGCCTGACACCGCCTTCCCTTTGTGCCATGGAAACACCCATGATGATAAAGAAAATCATGAAAGCTCAGTGCTACCAAAAATTAGTACTAAGAGAGAAACTATTGCCAAATGTGGAAGGATGTTTCCAAGCCCAAGGGTGGCTTCTCGAGAGTGGCGTAGCGAGTGCCTTACTCCAGTCTCAGTGCTTTATTTTCCACACTTCAGTTAGAGCCCGTCCACCTCGCAGCGTCCCGTTCCAAAGCGAGCGCTGAGAGTGCACTGCCACTGTTCTTCCTGTAACTGGACAGTGCACCTGCGATTCCTCACTGTCACCCTGGGCCTCGCTGGGACTGGTGTTCTCAGGTTGCACGGCTGCGCCACCTGCTCCTTCCAGTTATGAAGTGCGTCACCACAGCCTCATCGGTGGCCTTTTGCTCTCCCTGAGGGAGGCACGTGCTGACTAGCAAAGAGGTCTATCGTGATGGCATCTGCCATGGGATGAACTGTGTCCCCCAATTCATATGAAGTCCCAACCCCAGCACCTCAGAATGGCACTGCACTTTCAGTAGGTGCTTAGGTCAAGATGAGGTCATACGAGTGGGCCCTAATCCAATGTGACCGGTGTCCTTGTGAGAAGAGTTTAGGACAGAGACACACATGGAGAGATGACCATGTGAAGACCTGGGGAAAACACAGCCACCTGCCAGCCAAGGAGAGAGGTCGTCAGCAGGAAGCCACCCTGTGACATATTAATCTCAGACTTCCAGCCTCCAGAATGATAAGAAAATAAATCCTGACGTTCGAATCTCCAGGTCTGCAGGGCTTTTTACGGCAGTCCTCGCACACAGATACACGCCCGGTCTGGTCCACCCCTGTGCCCGTCTTTCTGTAGAGAACCAGGGCCGTCTGGGTTTTCGAGTTGCGCTTTGGCTATCCCATGTCCGATTTATGGCCCATATCCTTCGGTATTTATAGCAGCTGCTCCTTGGCATACTCTGCTGTTTTGAGAAGTATGACTTTTGCCCCTTTCCCTAAATACTAAGCAAAGACGCAGCAGGTTTAACAAGCACCCTTCCTCTCAGTCCCTGCTGGGGCTTCCTCAAACACCATATGCCGGCATTTATGGCTTATTTTGTGTGTGGTCCTTTGGTCTTTTGTTTGTCTTGAATGTGTTCTTATCGGAGCCCACAGGGCGGTACCACCATCACTAGTGGTTCCCTAGCTGTCTTTAATCTTGTGGTATGAAGTTAAAATATCCAACACCGGGAAAACAGTGCTAAGAGCCTCTAATTGTGGTCTCTCTCTCTCTCTCTCTCTCTCTCTCACACACACACACACACACACACGCGCACACACACAAACATGAAGACTTTTGGTTGAATTATAATTGTGTGTGGGTATACTTGCCTCTCCCACATAACATGCTGAGTTTTTCTAGGACGAAGACTGTGTTGTACTTTTCTCTGTAGCTCTAGACCTGGCTGGATGCCTGGTGTTTTGTAGGTAGGTGTGTAGTCATTATTATTTTTTGAAAGAATGGATGGATGGATGCTCATGAGGGAATGGAAACTCCAGGTTTACAGGGACAAAACCACAATTTTCCATAATTTAAATTTTACCAAACTTTCCAACCCAAAGGGCAAGACTCATCTCTTGACACAAAACTCCATTAGTAGGCTCAATCTTTGAAGTCATTCTTGGAGCAGGTTTACTCTCTGCACTTGAGTTCTGAATGCAACATTGACCTTGATTCTTCACCCTCCTCTTTTTTTCCCTTTGGTTCCTTTCATAGTACACAGACCGCCATCAAGGTCAGATACACTGAGGGTATCCAGGAGCAGCCATTCCCCCACTGCCCCCACCAGGGTCACACAGAAGAACAAGACACTTTGTGTCTTCTGGTGCCCAGTGGAAGTGAGGACTTGTCTGTGGCTGGAGAAGGAGAGAGGAGCTTTGGGTAGAGGACCTGGCAGAGAGGGGCCACAGACAGTGGATAAGAAGGACCCAGGACCCTTGGGGAGAGACCCTCTGCAGGCAGAAGCAGGGGCTGCTCTGTGGGACCTGGGCCCAGGCCATCCTGCTTTAAGGGCACAGACGGCTCAGTTCCCCCAGAGAATCGAGACCGTTACCCACTGTCCCACCCATGTCCCCTGGAGCAGCAGGGAGCCCGTGGCACTGGGCGCTGGAGCAGGTGCTGAGGGTGGAAGGGGCAGCAGGTGCCGTGGACGGGACACACAGGGCACCCCTGGGGCTCCAGCCATGCCAGGGAGGGGCTGCAAAGTGGGGCTGGGGACGGCTCCTGCAGTGAGAGGACTGACTGGCGGGGCCCCTCTTCCCCCAGCAGGGGGAGGCCCGGGACACTTACCCCCAACAAGGGCCAGGATTCTCTTTTTGAGGAAAGTCAGTGTACTTGCAGGGATATGTCTCACGAAGCCACCGCATGCCACTGAGGTGTTTCGGATGTCATTGTGCCCTTTACCCTTTTCTTCTCCAGCGTCCCTTTGCTCAGGGTCGACAGTAGTGTCCTGCCCTTCCTCCTGGCCCCTTAGGTCCTTTCTTCTCCCCAACGCTCAGTTCAGTACTTATTTCTCTCTCGTCTTCACACGTTAGTTTTGTTTACTCAGCCAGGTTACAGGAAGCTCTTTGAGAGGGGGGACTGGTCTTACACAGCTTTGTCTCAGTACCCCAAACATCGACCACCTTCTGAGCACACAGCTGGTATTCAGGATTCTTTGGTAGTGGGACGAGTGGCTCGGGAAGTAGTTTTCTACAGAAATGAATCCTGGCGGCTGACAAAGCAGTTTCTTCCCCCTGTCCCAGTGCAGGGACTCTCCCCACCGGCAGCTTCTTGCTGTTTTCAGACACCCTTATGCCTTTGGCTGTAGAGTCCGTGTACTTTGTGAAGATTCTAACTAGGGATTTTGTTGAGAGCACCTCCAGGAAAACCTCAGTTAGAGGTCTATTTAGAATTGTGTGGGCTACGTAAGCCCTGGGAGCATACTGGGCTTTCTTATTCTTGCACATGGTAGGCATTCAACATTTGCTCAATAAATACAAAGAGAAAATAAAAAGAGAAGGCCCTTCCTATTTGAGTAAAAGAATGGATTTGTATTAGTTGCGTGCCCATCCTGTGCATATTTTGGTTGAGCTATTTTGTCTAAGGGACCCACGGAGAGAACAGTGAGCAGTTACCGTAGCCCCTGCTTTGCTCCGCCAGTCTGAAGGGGGAGGCTGTCGCCATGGGTGGATCTCTGTTTCCCTCTGGTGGCAGATCCAGGCACTGCAATAGCTATTTCTGATCTCCCGCAAGGTTAGATCTAAATTCTGATTGCCAAAGCTTGAAGGGTCCTTTGAGGCCTGTGATTATAGTATTTCTCCAGCTGTATTGTGAAAAATTCTAGACAGCCTCTGAATTATCCACAAGATTAAGAACTTGTTTGAATCTTGGTGATAATCTGAAATACAGGCAGATTCTGGGTTATGTGGATGACCACTTTCTAATCATGTACTGCCCTGCAGTTGTTTTCACGTTTGTGTTTGTGTTTCACACTGGGGCCAAATATTACAGCTTCAGTTGCCATGGGAGGCCCAGCGAAGCCCAGGATAGTGATACCAATAAAAGTTTCACAGTTTGGCAACTGCACACAGCCCACTGTGGCATAAGCCACCCACTGCAGAGGTCTGTGCTGTTGGTCCACATTCGGTGATGAGTGGCAGGGCAGCTTCAGAAACACGACTTCCTCTCTCCCATGAGTTTTGCCAGTTGACTTCTAGCAACTTTAGTGCTGTTATTATTTATTTTTAAAATGTGCTTTGGTGATACTTAAGGGCTATATAGCTAAATGGTTTATTTTATAATTGTGTGTCTTTATGTGTTGATACAGTAAAAATGAAGTAATCCATGTGTGGAGGTTTGCAAATTTTCCTTTTAAAGGTAGTTCGAATGCTGAGCCTGTGTGAGCAACAAGCAATGCACCGCGGCCCAGACGCATTCTCCCAGCGTCGTGCACGTAGCGGCAGGCAGAACCAGAAACGCACACAAACGAGCAGGTTTGCACACTCTCGGTCCCGAGTTCTCTCTACTGTGCCACCCCAGTTGTCTGGATTCAAGACAGTCTATCTTGCTGTGGATAAGCTCTGCTCTTTGCTTCACGTTGTCAGTGGAGACCTGACCTTTAACCATTTAAAACTAGTAGACATTGGGGTAAATGACTCCTTTTGTATCGATTCAAGTGGCGATGTAATTCATGTTCGCCGTACTTTTGCTTCACAACATCACAAGTATAAGGTGATTCTTGCCCAAGAACAGCTTACAATTATAGTTGGGGAACAACACACATGGAAACATTAAGTAATTAGTGGATAGTGCAGCTACATAAAGCACCAAATGCGAGGTAGACTCTCCTTTTGTCCTCGTTTTTGTTCATTGTATCCCAGCAGTGACCTTTCTGAAAGTCCCGGAAGTGAAGGACGAAAGCCCAGACCTCCTCCTTGCCTCAGTTTGTCTGTCTGGGGAGCATTCGTCACGTGGGATAATACGGCAGGTGAGCCTCAAGATGACCGTAGTCTCTGATAAGCACATGGCTCACGAGGTCTTGTGTACGGGCCTGTGAGGGAAGAATCAAACCCCCTGTGTCTGAGGTGTCCTGTGTCCTTCTATCAGAGCCGAAGAGCAGTTTCTCTGCCATCAGCACTGACGATTCACCTTGGCTGAGAAGGCAGCAAGCTCCCATGGTAGCTGACCAGGAGCTCTTGTTCCAGTGGGGCTGCACGTGTCAAAGTGCTGTTGCCATGGAAGCATGTGTCTGCATGTGCACCAGTGTGTGCACGTGTGTGTATGCACATGTGCACATGCATGTGCACACACTGGTGAAGGGATGTGCATGAGAGGTGTGGAGCAGCTCTGGGTAGAGTCTGGGTTTTTCCGGCAGTGAGTGATGCTTCATCTGGGGGCCCAGTGAGTCATGACTAGGGTGTTCCTGCCTCAGTCTGGACTGTCAGATGTTGTGTGACACCAGCTCAAATTCCCCAACACAGGCCGTTGGTGCCTCCTGATTCCAGGCTAATTAGCTGTACGTCTGGTGAGTGTTCTTTAACACTGTGGCCCTGCATCTCCAGCACCTACAGCGGTCCCACATCCACAGTGCGAGGACGTGCGTATGCAAAGATTTCGGAGCTTGTGGAAACCAAGATGGTCATGCCCCTGTCCTGTACAAATTATCCATTCATCCCCCGACACTGGCAGTGTGTTATTTCTCACCCTGCTGTGGCCAGCTGGGCTAGCTGGGCCAGGCTGGTTGACCCAGACCTGCTCCCTCCTGTGTTCTGTGTTGACCACGGTCGGCTGGAGCAGTGCGTGACGTGTCCTACAGCGGGCTGGCCTGGCTCCTTCCCTCGGTGCTGGGTGGGGCTCCCCTACCTGCCGCCTTGCTGACGTCCCACTGACCCAGACTCGTCACACAGCCAAGACCGGCTTCAAGGGGGTAGGGACAGACTCACCTCACAGGAGTTGCCACGTCACATGGCTGAGTGGGTGGAGGAGGGGATAATTGAGACACTGTGTCCACCCTCGTGGGACTGGGCTGGGGTCAGGTGGGGAGAGGGGTTGTATGGTCCCCACGACCCAGTGTCAGATTTGCCTAAAGACCAACAGTGGCCCTCAGTGGGCCCTGAGGGGTGGCTTGGAAGATGCAGATCGGGCTGCACAGGGAAGGGGACTCCACAGGCCTGGCTGTCCACAAGGAGGGGGAGGTGCAGAGCACGTGGGTCTGGGGTGTGGTGGGGAGGGGTTGAGGGGGGGCCTGTGGGTGGAAATGAGGCAGATGAAGCCACCAAACCGCAGGTAATTTGACCTTCTTATATAAGGGGTGGTACCATAGTACTATTGTTCTAATCAGTCTCATGTCCTTGCTCAGGTAACTCTTGAGCACTTACTTATAATAACCCTAGTAAGTTTACTAGAAAGCCCTCCCACCCCCACATTTATTGGTGCAACTGACACTGACACAGTAGAGTGAAAAATGTGTGGATGCATGTATATCACAAGTCTAAGGAGGATTTATTTAATCCCTTTTCAGTCTCAGATGCGTGTTAATGTTCTTGTGGGAGTTATGCTTGTTATCCCACTTACATGCTCAAAGGGAAAATACATTTATACATTTGTATATAGTTGAGGGGGTTGCATTCAGCTTTTCTGATTAAATTTGGCACAAGGATTCTGGTGACATTAAGAGCTGACATTTGGCCAGGGGCAGTGACTCAACGCTGGTAATCCTAACACTCTGGGAGGCTTAGGCGGGAGGATCCTTTGAACTCAGGAGTTCGAGGCCAGCCTGAGAAAGAGGGAGACCCCATCTCTACTAAAAATAGAAAAATTAGCCAGGTGTGGTGGTGTGTACTTATAGTCCCAGCTATTTGGGAAGCTGAGACAGGAGGATCATTTGGGCCCAGGAGTTTGAGGTTGTTGTGAGCTACGATGATGCTATTGCACTCTACCCAGGGCAACAGAGTGAGACTCTGTCTCAAAAAGAGAAAAAAGAGAGCTGACATTGTTGGAGATATTATTTATTGTGGCCTGCAGTCACTGTAGCAGAAATGGAATTTTGTTTGAGATTGTAAAGAAAAAGAAGGCCTGAGGGTTTATGCAAGCACAGTCGTGTGGCCCCTCTGTGAAGGGGTATCAAGTGTACTCGGTGCCCCAGGTGAGGGGGGAGACAAGGGCTTTATTTTGATCTCTGGGAGACTCTTTCACTCTCTTCTCCTTCCACTGCCCTTGAGTTCCCTCTCCATTTCTTTTCTGCTTCTTGCCCTTCTCCTCTCCTCTTTCTTGCCTTACCCTAGAAGAGGAAAGAGCCATTTGTGCACCTGGTTAAGTCCTGGTCATAAATTCTGAAGAGAATGAAGCCAAGACCTGCCCTGGAGCTCAGTCAGGACAGGAAATATTACTGGCTACTTTTCCACAGGAGCAGGCAGAACTGTTCCTCAGGAGGTGAAGAGAAAATACAGGGGGATAGATCAGAAAATAGAGTTTTTAAATATAATCTTTCTCATCTTTGCATTCCCTTCCTGCTGAGGCCGCAGCCTGCGTTCCAGGGTCTGTCTCCATAATTTTGCCTTTTCCTGAATGTCATAGAGTTGGAATCAAGCAGCGTGCAGCCTTTTCAGATGGGCTTATTTTGCTTAGTGATGTGCATTTAAGGTTCTTTCATGTCTTTTCATGGCTTGAGGGCTCATTTCCTGTTAGTGCTAAATAATATTCCATTGTCTGGTTGTACTACAGTTTATTTATCCACTCACATACTGAGGGGCATCTTGGTTGCTTCCAGGTTTTGGCAATTATGAATGAAGCTGCTATAAACATCTGTGTGCAGGTTTTCAACTCATTTGGGTGGCTACCAAGGAGCACAATAGCTGGATTATATGGTTGAGAATATGTTAGGTTTTGAAAAGAAACTGCCAAACTGTATTCCAAAGTTGCCGTGCCATTTTGCATCGCACCAGCAATGGATGAGAGCACCTGTTGCTCCACCTCCTCGCCAGCATTGGGTGTTGTCAGTGTTTTGGACTTTTCCCATTTTGCTTGTAATATGCCTGACATTTAAAAACAATAAGCAAGTAACATTTTTTTGGAATCAGAAAATCATTAGAGGTATTGTCCTTTTGAAAATAATTCTATCTTTTATACAGCCTCAACAAGGTTAGGCTATCAGAAAAACTATAAATTATAGGTTACTAATTAGGACTCTTTTCCTTTGTATTTTCTCCTTTTCTATATCGTAAGCTTAAACTAATTTGCTTAGTTTTCTAAATCAGTGGGTCTCAAACTTCAGCATGAATTGGAATCACCTGGAGAGCTTGTAAAAGTGCAGATTGCTGGGCCTCACACCCAGAGTTTCTGATTCAGGCGGTCTGGGATGGGGCCCAAGAACTTGCATTTCTAGCAAGTTCCCAGGTGAGGCCAGTGCTGCCGGTCTACAACCGCACTTGCCATACTTTGAGAAACATTGTTCTAAATAAGGAGGAAGGTGCTTCAAAGTTAGAAGTAATAATCTCCTTTCCAACTTTTCCAAATTTTTTAGAATAAGTACTCCTTTAAAAATATCATGTATAGAATATTGTAAAAGAATTCCTTAATTTTTATGAGATCATTTTTTATTAAAATAGATAACACATCTGTATGAGGAAATATAAAATGCATAGTGGACCTCCAAATACCTGCAGATCGAACTTCAGATAAAACCAATTTGTGCCTCGTGTGCTGGCACATGGCAGCTGACAGTGTTATTGACAATCACTATGTGTATTGTATGATCTATCTGATATGTGCTTGGCTTGCTCAAAACATCACACTATTGCTCACATTACACATTAAAGAATCTCAGTGAACCAGAGGATGCACACCTTTGTTTAAAGCTTTTTTTAAAAAACTTTCTTCTCCTCACTCTGTTGGTACCATGTGAACAGCCACTGACTCTCAGCACCCATCTCCTCCCACACCTGCCTTAGAGGTTCTCGTGCCCCAACCCCGTCTGGTCAGTTGGGGGGCGATGCACGTACTGGTCAATGCCCAAGCCCCTGTAAGGTCCCCACTTCCCTGTGCCCCCCATTCCTTTTCAAAGGACAGCCCTCAGGCCAGGGCAGTACCTTAGAGCCCAGCTCTCCTGAGCCAGCTTCCCCACCTCCGTGGGCGCTCCTGAGGGGTGGTCTGCACTGCAGGGCTCCCCTGTGGGATCAGGCTGGGGCTGCCCTCTGCGTGGCTTTTGCTTGGGGTTGAGCCTTGGCTTAGCCTCCTCCCCCTGCCCATCCTGCCTTCCTGGTCTGCCCGGGTGGGGACACTGCCTTCCTAATCAAGAAATCACCCGCATGAGAATCTTTATCTTAGAATCTACTTCTGGAGAGTTCTAACTTAAGATAGAGGCCCTTTGTACGACAAAAACCCTCAGACATGCCTAAACATATGTAATCCACACAGGATTGTTATCAACAATAAAAATGTCCTGGGGTACTCTGCTAGACACCAAGGACGCGTAGAGACATAAGGCACAGCTGAGGTCCTGGAGGGAGTCAGTGTCTGGCCTGGAACATGTAAAACGTGCAGGAGACAAAGTGTAACAGTATCTGGGGCAGGAGGGTATTGGAGCCTAGTAGCCCATGTTTCCATCTCCAGGTTCTCCTTGCCCCTAGTTCCCCTCCCATACACCATCCTAATGGATGGCTGTGTGCGGGTCTATTCTACCTCTCTGAGCCCAGTGTCCCCTTGGGGTGCTGCAGCAACCCAAAGGTCCCTGTGTCCTTAAGTGTGGCACAGAAGTCACGGGGAGAGCTGCCAGGTGTGGATGGTGTGGTCAGGAACATGAGGGGACTTGTGAGAACAGATGAAATGAGGGCTCCACGGCACCTTCCCCAAAGCCTCTGCACCCTCTAGGTGTCCTTAGACACAACTCCAGGGAAAGGAGAGGGGAGACCCTGAGTTGACTGAGATTGTTTCTCCTTATCCTGATAGGATGTGACATCAAAATAGAAATCCAACTGGGATTTCTACAGA